CCTTGGACTGCAAGGAGATCCAACCAGTCCATCCTAAAGGAAATCAGTCCTGAATATTCATTGGAAGGACTGATGCTGAAGGTGAAACTCCAATACTTTGGCCATCTGATGCTAAGAACTGATTCATTAGAAGAGACCATGATTCTGGGAAAGATTGAGGGCAGGAGGAGAAGGGGATGACAGAGGATGAGATGGTTGGTAGGCTCCAGGAGTTGGTGATGAACAGGCAGGCCTGGCATGCTGCAGTCATGGGATCGCAGAGTCAGACACGACTGAGCAACTGAACTGAACTAAACTCCCCAGCTTCATCTCCATGGCCCAGTCATCCCATAAGTACTGCTAACTTGCTCCAGACATGCTCCACACGTGACCTTGACACTTGTCTGCATCCTACAGGAGCAATATTACCTCTTCCTCACAGGAGAGAGTTGAGTCTCCATCTCCATGGGGTGAAGCCACATTTGTCCCCACTCTGATGGATGGGAAAGTCAATCCGTTTTCCCACCCCCCACTCCCACATACACAATGACTAGTCCTGCCAACAATTCTCTTTATGAATGTCATGGCCAGTGTGGCACATTTCTGACTGCAGACAAGTTTTTAGCACTTCTTGGTTCTCATCAGTATGGTGGGAGACAAGTGGAGATAAAATTTGCGGACATCTTCTTTTGTGACAGCCACCAAGATGGGCAGTTTATATGTATTGTCATAGTCAACTGCAGGCCACCTGTTTAGGTGGACATGGACTTCTGATTATCCAGGGAGAGAATCAGGCTCAGAGAGGGAAAGTCACTTGCCTGAGGCCACACAGCTCAGCTGAGATGTGAACCTGCAGAGGACGGCTGGGCACCAATACTGCCCCACTCCGCCCTTTACTCTCCGGGTGGGTCTGGTTCTAAAGCTCACTGAAGCCACCATGGGGACGTCTGGGGACCTAGCCTTAATGCAGCTTCATCATGCACGGGTCCCGGGACCCAGGGTGACCGCAGTGTTCTCATCCGTCAAGTGGACTTGTAGTGACCGGGGACCGGGAGGCTCTGGTGGCCTAGGGAGGGGGGAGCACACACCCAGGAGGGTCCGATCCTGTTCCTGCCATGGAGAGGTGTGGCGTTACCTCGGAGACCGCCCAGCGGAGCCGCTGGAGCCGCTGCAGGGCCCAGGCCTGGTCCAGGAACTGGTGGGGAGCCAACATGAAGCGTGTGAACATGGATTCCCCGGCGTAGAGCAGAGCGCTGGCTCGCCGCGCCAGCCCCTTGAGCCCACTTCGGGAGGCATAGAACCCGGTCCAGGACTGAAACACACCTAGGAGAATAAGGCCAGTAGTGGCTAGGATGTCCTGGAGCCCCCTAAAAGCCTCAATCCTGGAAGACAGAGCAAGATGGTGTCAGTGATGGGTAGACTCCTACCAGGTTACCTGGGGAGGCAACCTGGGTGGAGGATGATATCAGGGCTCCTGCTCCAACCAGGCCAGCAACTGCCCAGGAGCCCTTGAGGAACTAAGCAGGTGGCAAGGTCAGGCTGGGCTGCACCAGGCCTGGAGAGGCCTGGGTGCTAAAGGACTGTGACGGGGACAAGGCAGCCCAGTGAGCCTGGGACCCTGGGAAAGCCTGTGAGCAAAGGTCCCGGAGGATTTCAGGGGAGGAGGGAGTGGGACGAGGGCCAGGAGGACAGGGCCCAGAGGGGAAGTGCCCGGAGTGCTGGCAGCCCCTGTGTGTCACTTCTAGGGTGAACAGGATCCTGGACAGGCCTGCATTCCAGTGGGGTCCCTCTGGCTGCCTGCCGGGAGGGATGGGAGGGATGAGAGAGCCCAGAAACCACTGTCCTGACCCTGGACTGAGAGGACAGTGGGGGGTGGGTGGGAGGACGGAGGCCGAGCACCTTGGGGACAGGCTGTGTCTCAGCAGGTGGCTCACTGTTCCCTACTGTTTCTGCTTCCTGCCTTCTCCCCAGGCTGGGCTGTGCTCCCATTCCCTGTTCTTCCCTCAAAAGACCTGGCTCAGACCAGGAGGGGTAGCCACGTGGCCTGGGGAAGGATCACAGCTGTGGGGCCAGATGCAAGGGTCCTCCACAGCTCCTCCCCGACGCCGAGTGTGTACAGGTCAGACACAGTCCCTCCACAGCCTCAACTCTAAGCTCGGCACCAACCTGCCAAGGCTGTCAAGATCCCACTGTCCTCCATCAGGACCCAAGCCTCCTCTGTGATGTCCAGTCTCTGATCAAATGGCGCCTCCTCCAGGACTCAGCAATGTATCCACGCCCACTCCACACACCCACAGGACTTCTCTGCGTCCTTCCCACCTGGATAGAACCACTTCCATACAGACTTCCTCTCCCCCCACCCTCCCTCTCCGACCCCGGCCTCAACATAACCCCACCTACATCCTTGTAACCCCTCCCACCCCAAGTGTAACCAGGCCCACAGAGAGCATCCACTTTCACCTGGGGTGGAGCCCCGCCCACATCCATGTAGCCCCTCCCACTTCCCATTAGGGGAGGAGAAGCCAGTCCTTCCCTAATCATATGTCCCCAGGAGGTGTCCTGAGAGCCAAACAGCTTCCCCTTCTCACCACTCAGATGAGAGGCCAAGGCCCGAGAGGCACGACCAACCCAGGTCTGGGGGAGTCAGGGCAGCGCCCAGCCTGGAACCAACCCCCTCGTGGTGGGGACCCATCCTGGTGTCTCTTTGCAAAGGAAGGAGATGAGAAATATTTATGGTTGAACTGCCATGTCGGTGTCCCTCCAGTTCTCCGGGGCCCCACTTCACTGTTAACCAAACGGGGGCTCAGAGCGGTGACATCACTTACTGGAAGCAACCCAGCCCATGAGGCGAGGAGCTGTGATCTAAACCCAGGTGAGCATCTGAGTCACCGTGTGGGGCCAGCCTCCTGAGGCACCATGCCTGCCCAGTGGTGAGGGCGGGCAGCGGACAGGCCCGGATAGACCTAGCTCCGGGGACCCTGGCCCCACGGTGAATGTTCAGCTGGAGGATGCCCCTGTGAGCCTGGCTTGCCTGCCTGTCCCGTGTGGATAGCCTCCCGTCTCCTCTCTCCCTTCCACAAGGGCCTCTCCAGCTGAGTGATCCCAGCATGGACCTGGGGCTGGGCAAAGCTGGCTGGAGGCAGGGCCTGATTTCGCATCCCTGGGATGTCCTGGCTAAAGCTGACCTGGGCTATTTCCAACCTTGATCCTACCTTCCACAGCCTCTTGGCTTCTCGTTCTGTGCAAAGATGGAGCAGGAGGACAAAGATCCTTCAAGGACTCCGGGGTTTTATGCAATCAAGGTTGCAGAGGATTCGACCATTTGGCCAAAAGCATTCCCTACTGATGTCCTGATCAAGCCCTGGGCCGGGCTGTGGAGGGTGTTTCTGTCTCCCCAGCTGTCGATGGGATGCTGTGTGTGGAAAAGTCCTGCCTGGCTTGGCAGACAGGGGAACCAAGTCTGCAAGGAGCTCAGCATCGGGGACCGTGGGGCTGGGCCTGAGAGTGGTGCTGATTCTGGGCTGTCTTTAGGTCACCGCAGGCCCTGAACTAAGATTCCTTAGGAGGGACTGTCAGGATCATGTCCCAAGTGGGACCTGACCCCACATGACGGAGATGCTATCATAAACTATTAACGGCAACATCTGCTGTGACCTCTCTCTGGGTCAGGCACTAGGCTAAGGGCTCTCCTCCTTCTCCTTCATTTTTACTTTTGATGCACCAAGCACCACTAACATCCTTATCTTTCTGACAGAGGACAGATTCCAAGGTATGCATGTACCCAGGCAGAAGACTCACCGCAAGACCTTTCACCCCTTAGACCAAAACCATCCCAGCCTCCAGGACATAGGCTTGAGGAAGACAAGGTTCCCCAATAAGGACTATGTGGTAATCAATGAAAACTGGGGCCCTGGGGGCAAGGAGGGGCCAAGGGATCTAGCCTTAAAGTCAGGAAAGGCTTCCTGGAGGAGGTGACACTACCAGACAATGAGGACTCTCCAGGAAGAGAGGGTGGGAGGAGAGCACTCCCACAGGGAGCACGGTAGTGAAGGGCATAGAGACAGGGACCTGCTGAGTGTGGACCCTGGTGAGAGGTTCATCGTGGTGGGACCAGGCTGTGTACCTTGGTGGGTCAGGTAGGTGTGAGTAGCGCCCATATCTCCCCCGGTCCCCCGAGCAGGCTCCAAGCTCAGGGCTGAGCAGACATTGCATTTGGAGGCATTTTAACTCCCCGGCACCGAATCACCACCTCAACCCCCAGAGGCTCATACCTGAAGAATACGGCAGGAAGTAACGGTGGTCTCGGACCTGCACTGGCTCGTGTTCAGAGTACAGAGTTTGGAAGTATTCGCCCAGCGTGGCGTACACCATCAGCACACCAAACTGGGGTATGTGCTTGTTGATGTAGCCCATTAGATGGTCCATGTTGGCAAATTGCACCGAGGCATTGAAGAACCGCCTATCGTGCTGCTGCAGGCCAGGAAACAGAAGCAGTGCCTTGCATTTCTGGGAGCAGAGCCCAAACTAAACAGGGTGAATTCCCCTTCAACCCCCAAAAACCACCCTCCCACTCCCCATGGTGGGCAATAACCTTCCAAGTCAGCTGGCAAGCTCAATGCCCTGAGCGTTTCCTTCTATCTCCCACTCTCTTTATCATGTTATAACTTGCACCCCTAAGACTGGTTTATTATATAGCTTGATATTTGTACTTTTCCAGCACCTTTCCCCAATTCTCTTCACCCTAACCTCACCTCTGGAAACCACGAATCATCTCTTTTTTCTATAAGTTTGGTTTTTTTTTCAAGAATTCACATATAAGTGAGATCATACGTCTTCCTCTTTCTAATTGATTTCACTCCCTGGGCATTTATTAGAGTCCATCAGTATTACTACTTATTAATGTCATTAGTAGTAACAACATAGTAAATATAAATAACAATGGTAATGGGTTGGTCATATTTATTGCCATTAATTTCATCTTCAAAAAGGTAGTCAAAATTTAATAAAGTTGGTAAATTCTTATTTATCTACCAAGACTGACTCATGAATAAGTAGGAACTCTGAACAGACTGATTACCAGTTACAAAACTGAGTTAAAGTCACAAAACGTCCCAACAAACAGAAGTTCAGAAACAGTTTCGTTGGTGATTTCTACCAAAAATTTAAGAGAAGATAATACCAGTGCTGCTCAAACTTTTCCAAAAAATTAAAGAGGAGGGATTGTTTCCAACCTAATTCTGTGAGGCCAACATTACCCTGACAGCAAACAAACAAACAAAAAAAAGAATCCTGCAGAAAACAAGTGTACAGGTTGATATTCTCAATGAACATAGGTGAAAATATCCTAAAAAAAAAAAGTGTTAGCAAACCAAAGTCAGCAATACATGAAAAAAATACTACACCATGGGGTTTATTCCAGGGATCCAAGTATAGTTCAACATCCACAAATCAATGTTGTATACCACACTGAGAAAATGAAAGATAAAAGTCATACATTCAACTCAAGAGATGCATAAAAAGCATTTGACGAAATTCAACATCCTATTATGATAAAACTCAACAAAGTGGGTAGGGAAGGAACATGCCTCAACTTCAAAAAGGCCACATGTGACAAGCTCACAGCTAACATCATGAACACTGATGAAAAGCGAAAAGCTTTTCTTCTGTGAGAGCCAGTGGGAGTTTGATGTACGACACACGGAATTCAAAGCCGGTGCTCTGTGACCACCGGAGCGATGGGGTGGGAGGAAAGAGGGAGGGCGATTCAGGAGGGAGGGGACATACATGTGCCTATGGCCGATTCATGTTGGTGTATGGCAGATACCATCACAATATTGTAAAGTAATTATCCTCCAATTAATATAAATATTTTTTAAAGCCTTTCTTCTAAGATCAGAAAAAAGTCACAGATGTTCACTCTTATCACTTTTATCCAACATATTATTGGAAATCCTTGCCATGGCAATTAGGCAAGGGAAAAAAAGGCATCCAAATTGGAACAGAGGAAGTAAAACTTTTGGCAGATGTAATGATACTATATGTGTGAAAACCCTAAAGACAAAATCTGTTACAAGTAATGAATTCAGTAAAGATGCAAAATACAAAATCAATATACAGAAATCACTTGCCTATTAGTGTTTCTATCCACTAATAACAGACTCTCAGAAAGAAACAAGAAAACAATTCCACTTTGTATCAAACTGATTAAAATACCTAGGAATAAATTTGACCAAGTAGGTGAGATATCTGTACACTGAAAACTATAAGACATTGATGATTGAAATTTAAGAAGACACAAATAAAAGGAATGATATTTTCTGTTCACAATTGAAAGAATTTATATTGTTAAAATACCTATATTACCCAAAGTAATCCACAGTTTCAATGCACTCCCTATGAAAATTCCAATGATGTTCATCACAGACACAGAACAAGCTATCCTAATATTTGTGTGGAACCACATAAGACCCTGAATAGCAAAGGAAATCTTGAGAAGGAAGGATGAAACTGGAGAAATCACCTGCCCTATTTTCAAACTGCACTCCAAAGCTGCAGTAATCAAAATAGTCAGGTACTGGAATGAAAAGAGACATGTAGATCAATGGAAGAGAACAGAGAGCTCAGAAATAAGCCAGGCATATATGATCAACTACGTTATGGCAAAAGGGCCAAGAATATAAAATGAGGAAAGGAGAGGTTCTACAATAAACAATGCTGGGAAAACTGGAAGCCATGTAGAAGGATGAAACTGGACCACTGTCTAACACCATGCACAAGAACTAACTCAAAATGGATTAAAGAACTGAACATAAGACTTGAAACTATGAAGCTCCTAGAAGAAAACATAGGTGGTAATCTCCTTGCTGAGGCCTTTGTTGCTGGACCGAACTCCAGTTCACTCATGCCATGCAAAGCAAAGCCAAACTACTGATAACTGGGTTTGGTAAAAAAAAAAAAAAAAAAAAAAGTATATATATATGTATGTATATGTATACATATATGTATATACACATATTTATATCTATATCTATCTATCTATGTATCTATGGATAGAGAGTTTATTTGCAGTGCACCAAGCAAAGAGAATGGGCAGCTCATGCTCAAACAATCCAAACTCCCAAACGGCTTTCAGAAGAGAGTCTTCAAAAGCAACATTAGATGTGAGGGTTGCAGCATGCGTTATTAGCTCATGGAATTTCTTTTCCTTGGTTGGGGTATTAGGGTATTTCTGGCTCCAGTTAACCTGACGTCTACATACTGGTGGTCAGCACACAGTCAACTTCCTTTGCCTGGTGTGGGTTTTTGTGTCTGCAAAACAACTCAAGTACTTGGCTCTCGATAGTGTTCATAGTCCTTGGAGGATCTGTAGGTCCTAAGCTATTCTTATTTCCTTTTCTTATTGCATTCCTTTGTCTCTTCATTTTCTCTTTTCTTTGATTGAATTTGCTCTTGGAAACTCAGGGAAGATCTAGGAAGCTAATGTTTTTCTACAAACAAGAAGCGAGGGACAGGGAGGGTGTGGGAGTCTGTCCCTGAGAAGGGTCCTGCTGGGTTTCATTTTGATAATACTTCTCTTTTGTATTTGATACCAAAAGCAAGAGCAACAGAAGAAATAATAAATAAGTGGAATGACATCAAACTAAAGAGTTTTTGTGCAGCATAGAAAACTTCAAGAAAATGAAAGGACAATGTACCAAACAGGGGAAAATATTTGCAAATTATGTATCAGATAAAGGACTAATACCAAAATTATATAAGGAACTCATACAACTCAGTAACAAATAACTGGTTAAAAATTGAACCAAAGACCTGAATAGACATTTTCCCAAAAAAGATCTACAGATGGCCAATAGACACATGGAAAAATACTCAACATCACTGATTGGCCAGGGACATGCAAATCAAAACCACAAGGAGATACACCTCACACTTGTCATAATGGGTTTCCTATCACATAGAAGAACCAACAAGTGTTGGCAAGGATGAGGGGAAAGGGGAACCCTCTTGCACTGTTGGTGGGAGTATCAACTGGTGGGGTGAAGCCACTGTGGAAAACAGGCTGGAAGTTCCTCAAACAATTATAAGTAGAGCTACATAGGATAGCATCTGGATATTTATCTGAAGAAAACAAAAATACTAAAGATATCTGCACTGTCATGTTCATTGCAACATTATATAAAATAGCCAAGATATGAAGTCACCTAAGTGTCCATCAGGGCTTCCCTGCTAGCTCAGTTGGTAAAGAATCCCCTGCAATGCAGGAGACCCCGGTTTGATCCCTGGGTTGGAAAGATCCACTGGAGAAGGGATAGGCTACCCACTCCAGTATTCTTGGGCTTCCCTTGTGACTCAGCTGGTAAAGAATCCACCTGCAATGTGGGAGACCTGGGTTCGATCCCTGGGTTGGGAAGATCCCCTAGAAAAGGGAAAGGCTGCCCACTCCAGTATTATGGCCTGGAGAATCCCAAGAACTGAATAGTCCTTGGGATTGCAAAGAGTTGGACACAACTGAGTCACTTACACTTCACTTCACTTCACTTCACTTCTAAGTGTCCATCAATAGAGGAACAGAAAAAGAAAATGTGATATACATGCAGAATGAATTGTTGTTCAGTCATTTAAAAAAACACACAAGGAAATCCTGCCATTTGCAACAACATGGATTGGAACTTGAGGGCATTATGCTAAGTGAAAGAACTCAAATAGAGGAAGATGAATGCCATATGATGTCATTTATATGTGAATTTTAAAAAAATAACATGAAAAATAAGCTATGTACAGAGATAAACTGGTGATGCCAGGAGTAAGGGCTGGAGGGTGAGTGAAATGCATGATAGGGGTCAAAAGGTACAAACTTCCAGAAGCAAAATAAATGAGTCATGGGGATTAGTGTGTCACTAATAATGTTATGTTCTATTTTTGAAAGTTGCTAAAAGAGTAGATATTAACCTTTTCATTGCAAGGAAATACTTTATATTTATGTGTGGTGACAGATGTTAACTAGATCTATTGCGGTCATTTTGCAATATTTACACGTATGGAATCATTAAGACGTACATTTGGAACTAAAACGATGTTATATGTTAATTATATCTCAGTAAAAAAAAGAGAAAGGAGCAGTATAAAAAAGTTCCCCCTAAAAGTCACCGTATTCTAAATTACCATTGTTGAAGTTTGACATAAAATATAATTATAGTGAGAATATATGTAAGAGGCAGGGCTCACAGGAGGCAAAATCTTACTTTGAGATAAAATTATGCAATGCATAAAATTGTTCAAATGCATTGCATGTGTATCTCAAATCTTAGACTCAATCTAATGTCTATCATGTCTGATTCCTTACATTAAAGTTTGCCTCTCCTGGCTCACAGAAGTTTTGCAGAGGAGACCTCTGTCCAGCTCTCAAGGGCACAAGGAAATAGGAGCAAAGAAAGTTCTCTTTAGGCTTTGACAGGTGAGTCCAGGCAAAATTCGTCCTAGAAGTGGCCAGTGTAACGAGACCATCAGAGTTTATTGGTTCTCAGGATGGCTACCCTGGGGCTCAGACAGTAAACAATCTGCCTGCAATACAGGAGACCTGGGTTCAATCCCCAGGTCAGGAAGATCCCCTGGAGAAGGGAATGGCAACCCACTCTTACATCTCTGCCTGGAGAATTCCATGGACAAAGGAGCCTGGCGGCCATGCATGACAGTCGCTCAGTCGTATCTGACTCTTTGCGACCCTGTGGACTGTAGCCCGCCAGGCTCCTCTGTCCATGGGATTCTCCAAGCAAGAATACTGGAGTGGGTTGCCACGCCCTCCCTCAAGCTGGCTAAAAAGATAAATTCACGAGATCTATATGTGTCATCTGTCTTCTGAATTTTGTTATGAGCTCACCACAAAAACTGATGAGGATGGATAGCATGATAAACAACTTAACTTCCCCGTCACAGGTAGAAGACCCCTGAGACAGGGCCAAGCAGCCCCAGAGAGCCTGCCTGGATCCAATCAAAGGCTTTGGTCAGAGGGCAGAGACGCTCATGACTGGACATGCAAGGTTGTTCCAGGGGTGCTCAGAACCATCTCCAGAAGGAAGTACTGGATCAACATGTGGCTGAGGCAAGCCTAAATTTATAAAACCTATAGGACCCCAATTTGACAGTCTTCATAATGGACTGGGTATAGGAGGGCACACAATGATATAAAATTTTGCGATCTGGACCCAAGTTATTTTAGGTGTGTATGCGTGCAAAGTCAATTCATTCATGTCCAACTCTGCAACCCTATGGACTGTAGCCCACCAGGCTCCTCAGTCCATGGGATTCTCCAGGGAAGAATACCGGAGTGGGTTTGCCGAGCCTTCCTCCAGGGGATCTTCCTTCCTAGGAATCAAACCCATGTCTCTTACATTTCCTGCATTGGCAGGCAGGTTCTTAACCATCAGTGCCCCCAAGGAAGCCCTTTATTTTAGGCAGATGTTTTTATTTTCTTTTTGTAAACCTCAAATTCTATTTTGAACTGCTGAGAAAGTAAATATTTCATTCTTTTGTTTCTTTACTTCCTACAGATATTTTCAGTTATGCTTCAAGCTGCAGCTAAAGTAATATGTATTTATATATTTTGACTTTGTCATGCCAACTGGCCTATTGACCTAATGTATAGAATTTTGTTTGTTAAAAATTTTTACTAATATATGTAGCTATATAAAAATGTAGTAAATAAAAATAGCAAAGAAAGTAAATAGCATTTAAAATGGTAGTCAAATGCTGAAATGAAAGCTGTGGGACTTATCTCATTGAGTCTGAACACAAATTTCACTTTCCCAACTGCCCTGCTAAGTAGCTGTGTGGCCTTAGGAAGATTTCTTAACCTCTCTGACTCTCAGTTCCCTCATCAGCAAATGGGATACCATGCTGCTTGCCCCCTTGGCCCAATGGGGCAGATTAAATGTATAAGACAAGTGTATCCCATAGAAGAGTGCTTGGGGCACAGTAAGTGAAAGTGAAAGTCACTCAGTTGTGTCCAACTCTTTGTTACCCCATGGACTATACAGTCCATGGAATTCTCCAGGCCAGAGTACTGGAGTGGGTAGCCTTCCCCTTCTCCAGGGGATCTTCTTAACCCAGGGATCAAACCCAGGTCTCCCACATTGCAGGTGGATTCTTTACCAGCTGAGTCACAAGGGAAGCCCAAGAATACTGGAGTGGGTAGCCTATCCCTTCTCCAGTGGATCTTCCCAACCCAGGAATCAAACCACAGTCTCCTGCATTGCAGGCGGATTCTTTACCAACTGAACACCTCTCTCAGTAGGGGCTCCATAAAGTTTAGCTGTGACAACAATGAGGACGCAGGGTTGGGCATTGTCCCCTGGGCATACTTTTGGCACTTGACCTCAGATTGAACCTATGAAGCAGGTCTTGTCGTCATCCCCATTTTACAGATGAGAACACTGAGGCTTAGAGGGTCCTGAGTCTCACAGCAGCTGAGTAAGCAGCCAGGATTCAGGCCTCAGCCCTGCAAAGGGAAAAGGAGGAGACAGCTGGGTAGAAGCAGGAGACCCACTTGGGTGAGGGGCTGCATTTCAGATGGGAGAGTCTGGGGGTGACCCAGGGTGGGGGAAAGAGCTGGTAGAGTGGGTGAGGACTCGAGGGTTGGAGGCTGCAGGGAAAGAGGCCTGAGCCAGGGCTGGGATGGCTGCCTGGCCCACTGCCTGGATGGAGAATGATCTGGTGAGAGGTGGACCTGAGTCCAGGTTGGTCCTATCAGGGCAGCCCTTGGGAAGAGTTGGGGAACCAGGGCCTGGGACCCCGACTTACCCAGGGCCAGAGGATGTATTGTGTCAAAAACCAGGAGGCTCGTTTCCTCACATTGTAGGACAGGGTGTTAGCATAGCGTTGGATGTTGCTCAGAGTGGCAGGAACAGTCTTGTTGGGGTACATTCCATCCCAGGGTGGATCTGGGAAGACAGCTCTTTCATTCCAGTAAAACCCTTTACTGAGAAACAGAGGAACGTTAGAGGAGGCACCCTGCTGGAAGGGCAGGCCTGCCCGAGACCTCTGTCTCCCATCAGTTGGACAGACAGGCAAGTGGTGGGCAGATGAGAGCCTTGTGGACAAGAGTCGCCGCTTTTCAGCCCTGTGGGATCTCGGGCACGTCACCCTGCAGGGCACCCAAAGCATGGTAATGAGTCCCCCTCCCCCCACCAGGCCTCTTCTCCCAGCTGCCCCTTCATCCTGCTGACAATCTCCCCTCTTCAAAGAGGGGCTCACCCCCTGCCTGCAGCCTCACAGGCTCAGAGGGACAGAAGGGGACTGAACCCAGGTCTTCCAACCAGACAGCCCACAGGAGGGCTGTTCCCATGACCTGGAGGTCTTGGAGCAGCCTCCTGAGCCTAATGTTGCTGCCGCATGGCTGCTACCGCAAGACTTGACTGGGTGTCTAGACCTCAGTTGTTCTTTCTGTAAGATGGGTACTTGGTGAGTCCCCTCAGGGCTCGCCGTGAGGGTTGGGGCTGACGTGGTTCAGGGAGAGGGCTGGGAACATGGCCTGGCCCGAGGCAAGAGCTCACGAGCAGTAGCCGCTCTCATCCAGGATGTGCGTGAAGATTTCCTGCTGCGCCAACAGGGACCGGGATCCTCTCCACATGAACTGCATCTCCTGCAAACCCAGAGGGAACAGAGTGAGGGCCCAGGGGCAACAGGGCTGCCCGGCTCCCCTCACCAGACCCCGCCTGAGTCTCATGGCTCCCTGCACCCCGCTCCTCTCTCAGTGGTTCATGGTCAATATCTCCCTCTGCTGCCTTCTCAAGATTCCTCCTGACCTCCCAAAGCCACAGGGGGTTGCACGTTCACCCCACCCCTCCTCAAGGAAGGACTCTGCCAGGACCTGCCAGCCATACTCTTTCTAAATCTGCTCGAATCCCTCCAACATGGGGAGCTCATCGCCTCTCATTAAGGGTAGGGTCCATTTTCACATTCTGATGCTTAGAAAGTGGTCAGGGCTATGAAGCAGAGATAAATTCTGCTTCTGGGAGCTTTATGTCTGATCCATACACAGTTCCTGACTCCTCTGTGGTTTGCACATGAATCTGTGGGAATCACACACAGCTCTCACGTTTACCTGCAGGAGAATCGAGCTGCCAGAGAAAGTGTGTAGCGCTCGGTGGGGGTCATTAAAAAGCTTACTTCTCTTGCCCGCTGTGAGCCCAATTCCTCTTTGATAACTCCATGCTACCCCTGTTCTCCAAAACTTTATTATCTGCATGATCCTGCATGGAATCCTTACATTTTTGGCCTTAATTTCTCCATCTAGGATAATTTTAGCACTATCTGTTTTGGGTTGAATAGTGTCCTCCCCAAAAAACATATGTTGAAGTCCTAACCCCTTTAGCTCATATGACCTAATTGGAAATAAGGCCTTTACAGAGGTTATTGAGGAAAAATTACCATGAGAATGGACATTTATCCATTTGAGTAGGGATAGAAGGAGAAATTGGGCCCAGACAGACACAGAGGAAGATGACATGATGACACAGGAAGAAGTAGGCTGTCTCCAGGCCAAGGATGCCTGAGGCCACCAGAAGCAGAGAGAAGCCTAGAGCAGACCCTTCCCTGACATCCTCAGAGGATGCATGGCCCTCTCCAGGGTTGATCTTGGAGTTCTGGCCTCCAGACCTGTGAACAACATTTTCTGTGGTTGGGAGCTCCCAGTATCTGGTACCTTCTTAATTCAGCCCCAGTAAATGAGAAACTACATCATAGGCTGCTGTGGGGATTAAAGGAAACCCAGAGGACAGTGGCTCCCACCAGGCCTGGCACTTTGTAGGTAGGAAAGGCAGTGTCTCTGTGATTGTTGGGTGTTACATTCTTTCATACTCTCTGCCCACCCATCAGAGGAGTTATTACGTCCCAGGTACCCTGAAACCCCTACCACCTCCTCTCTGCATTGATCATGGTTTACTGAATGCAAGTCTGTGCCAATCCCTTTGGAGACTCAAAGAAGGCAGCGCCAGCCCAGTTGAAGTGGGGAAGGGACTCAGAGCCACAGGCATCCGAGCTGGGCCTGCAGCTCAGCCAGGAGCTAGACCTGCAGGAGGAGAGAACCACTCATGCCGGAGGGCACAGCAGGGCAAAGATGGGCCTGGGACGTCCTATGGCCTGTGTAGCCGCCAGTATCCCAAATGCTCAGGAGAATAACAGGGGCTCTGAGAAGCAGTGAGAAAAAGGGGAAAAAGCAGAGGTGAGTCAGCAGCCATGGATGCAGCTCATGGCTCACCTGGTCATTCTGCATGGTCTCCTTCAGGTCATAGTCTATCCGGGAGATGGCGTGGCCATTGAAGCCCGCCAGGGCAAACAGGGGGGTCATGGCGGATGCGCCAAATGAGTCCACCTGCCAGGAGAACTGCGGCCGGATCCCAAACGTTTGGTAGAGAAACCCGTGTCCTTCTGCAAAGAGATCAGCCTTGCTGATAAAAGTGTGGTGGCCCCTCACCCCCTAACTCCCTGAGAGGCCCTTGACTTCTCAGGGCTGGAGTGCCTTCCATTTGGCAAGGAGGGTCTTGCTGCTATAGATACTAACACAGAGGTCTGATCCCAGAATCATCTAAATATTCTCTTCTTTATTCATGATTTATGAGCCACCACAAATGAACGAAAGATCAGGGTGACTGCAGAAAGTCTCCCAGACTTGATAAACCATTAATTAATGTTCACCGAGGACTCCCCCAAACATTATTTATCAGCTAGGAGTTACAGCCTGCATTTTATGGTGAGAAAAGGAAGACTCCAAGAGCTTGAATTACTCTGTGTGTGTGTGTGTGTGTGTGTGTGTGTGTGTGTGTGTGTGTGTTAGTCGATCAGTCGTATTCAACTCTTTGTGACCCCACGGACTGTAGCCTGCCAGGCTCCTCTGTCCATGGCATGCTCCAGACAAGAATACTGGAGTGGATAACTATTCCCTTCTCCAGGGGATCTTCTCAACCCAGGGACTGAACCCTGGATTGAATCCAGGTCTCCTGCATTGCAGGAAGATTCTTTACCATCTGAGCCACCAGGGAAGCTCTCGAGTCACTAGTGTTAAGTCAAACTGCCCTTCACTGATGAGCTGCCCAGGCTGGGACACTGGCTGTGGCCCTGAAGATGATTCCAGGGTTATGGGACAGAGCTGTAATCAGATCCATATGCAAGGCTCGTCCAGGAAGAAGGTGACTGCTGGGAGGCTAGGGAGGACCTGAGGAAGATTCAGGGTCTAGTGCACAGAGGAGGTGATGAGGATCAGCCAGGCTGTTGGACTTGGGGTGGGGCTCTGAGCCCTCAGGGACCACTGGATCAACAGAGGGGGAGCAGGAAATAGAGGAGGCCAAGAAAGGGGTGCTGGAGAGGAAGGGGAAGACTCGGGGATGGAGGGTCCTGGTTGAGGGAGGGTGGGTCAATATCACCACACTGGGCAGGGGAAACAGTGAGCTGTGGAGGGCACGCCCTCTCCCCAGAGGGGAAGCCTGAGGAGGGCAGGCTTGATGGCTGCAGACTCCACGGCCCAGAATTCATGACTCAGAGAATTCTCACTTTGCTCACTGGACACCGACCCAAAGCCAAGGGTTTCACTGGTCTGATCAGTCATGGCAAGATCCTTTTGTTGTGTCAGAAATTTAGTTTCACAGACTGTGAGTGGAGAAGTGGGCACAGGCTATGGTCATATTAAAAAAGATGTATGGGTTTCACCTGCTTGGGTTTCAGGACAAGAATTTCCACCTTTTGAATAAAAAAAAAAAGAGGAGGCAAGCCTCCCTTGTACCCCTTTTATTCCTTGAATGTGCAAATATGGCCTTATGATGACCGAAGTGGCAGCCATTCTCTGATTATGTGGGAAGTGAAGTGAGAGTCGCTCAGTCGTTTCCGACTCTCTGCGACCCCATAGACAGTCCATGGAATTCTCCAGGCCAGAACACTGGAGTGGGTTGCTGTTTCCGTCTCTGATTATGTGGGAGAGGATGTGAAAATATAAGAAACATCAATGGGCTTCAGAATCAGTCCTAAACCTCCCCCCACCCCTTCTTTGAAAGTAAATAGTCCCATTTGTTTATTTTTGCTTTTATTTCCAATATTCTGGGATGTGGGTCATAGAGGATCCTGCTGTGATTTATGTCGGAGAGTGTTTTGCCTATGTTCTCCTCTAGGAGTTTTATAGTTTCTGGTCTTACATTTAGATCTTTAATCCATTTTGAGTTTATTTTTGTGTATGGTGTTA